TCCTGCCCTGAGCAGGTTTATAGGTCAAGCCCCACTTAGGAGCCCCTTACCTACCTGCTCAGAAGCCTTACAAAACTGCAATCCAGGCCCGGGATGGTCAGGAGGGAGAGAATCGAGGTGTGAGGGTCCGGGGGTCCTCCTGAAGAGAGCGAGGAGGGGAGAGGGGAGCAGCTGAAGGGCAGCCTGAGCTCCTGGGTTTCCCCTCAGGCTCTGCTCTACCCTGGCCCTTGATCCAACTCCTTAATGTCTAGGTATGAGCCCTGCCTGCCTCCCCCCAAGGGGTGGGGCCTGCTGCCAGAACAGCTTTCAGTTTCATTTCCTGGAAATGACTGGTTTTCTGGATTCAGCTGCACAGACTCCGTATTCTTCTTCTGAGAGGGGAGGAGCTCTTCCTGATGGCCTGGCTTGGAGGTCAGGTCAGAAGTCTGCCTGGGAATCGTGCCATCCAAACTGCAGCCAGAGCCATCTGACCCAGCTGCTTTTCTAAGCCCATTCTTGCTCAGATAAATGGTCCCATGAAGAGCCTCAGTTAACCTGGTCCTTGGAGAACTACGGACCCTTCAAATGCTGCTCCTTGAGGCTGCTGTCCCTGCTCACACCTTCCCTTGCTCTCTCCCTCCCATTAGGCACACCAACTCCCCTACAGGAAGAGCACAAGCCCAACAGTGCATGGTGTGGCAAAGCCTCTCTGCCGCCAGCTTGCTTGTTGAGTTTCCGTCCTTCTGTCCTTCGTGGAACAGGACACCCACAGCCCACATTCACAGCTCCCTTGGTGTTTGTGATGTAAGATGCAGCCTCAGCAACCCCTGGAGGGCCCAGGAATTACCTCTGTACTGGGGCTAAGACCTGCACTGTGCTAACCGCTTCATCTGAAAAATAAGAGCACAGTGGGGCTCAAGTGCCCAGAGTGGACACCGCTGACACCTGTCCATGTATGTCACAGCCTCATTCTTCTTAAACATAGTAACAACAAAGCACTTTAAAAGATTTACTTATTTTATGTGTGTAAATGTTTTGCTTGCGTGCACATCTGTGTACCTGTGTGTGCCTAGTGCCCACAGAGGTCAAAAGAGGGTGTTGGATCCCCCATTACTGGAGTTAGGGCACTTACGTTGTTTCTAAAAACCAAAACCCCAATCATTCGATTTTAACATTAAAGATTCAGGAGCCAGATGCTGGGTGAAAACTTGCCAACTCGGAGGGGCAGAGAGAGCACCCAGTTGACCTTCCTTCTAGGCTCAAGTCCCAGAAGGAAAGAGCCAAAGAGCCAGAGCTAAAGAGCTGCTTTTTCTCCAATCTGTCTTAAATACTCTTCAACTCAAAGTCCCTCCTTTCTATTAATCCCTGTCAGATGGTTTCTTGCTCTGCCTCTTGACCTAGGGTTAACTTTATTAAATCCTGTTTACAGAAAGCTCTTGGATTAAAGGTGTATGCTAGGGCTGAACCACACCAAACGAAAAACAAGTTTTTACAGTTCACAATCTCAGGGTTCACAGTAGGACCAAATATCCTGCAACACAGTTGTGAGCCACAATATGGGTTCTCTACAAGAGCAAGTGCTCTCAACCAGTGAGCCATCTCTCCAGCCCTTCAGAGCCTTGCTCTGCTATGGGAATCTGTGGGGAAACCTCCCTGGGGTCAGGAAAAGAAGGGGTCTTATGGCATGGGCTCTGTCATCACTGAGTGACAGAGGGAGATGTGACTGAGAGATTTTTCTTTTTAAGTGTCTCTGCCACCCTTGACTTCTCTCAGAAAATGACAGCAGGCAGCACACTGCGTGATTGCACAGCAGTGCTCCTGGCTGACGAACCCAGTCAACAGATGATAAACAGGCCGGGAGATGAAGTCAGAAAGGTGCCTGCTGTGCAAGCACAGGACCTGAGTTCAGTCCTCCAGAACCCACATCAAATGCAAGGCGTGGTGGTGTGTGCTAGTAATTCCAGTACGGGACAGAGACAGGCTGATGGCCAGCAGCCTAGCCTGTATGGTAAGCCCCAGTTACAGCGAGAGACGTTGCCTCAATGAACAAGGTGGACAACATCTGAGGAACTACAGCCAGGGTGTCCAGTAGTAGCCTCCACAGGCACTTGCATACATGTGATGATTTACAAAGAGGGTGTAACAGGTCCCTAGGTACCAGCTGCCTCTATCCCTGAGATCCAGAGAGTACTGTTGTGCGTGGGAACTTCCCCATGACCTTTCTCATGTGAGAGAACATGGGACTCCACCAGGATTGTGACTACCCACCTGTGACCTTTTCTGTCCTCTGCTTCCCTACTGTTACCAGAGCAAGAACAAAAGCAGACTCCTGTCCCTTCTGGGCCACAGAGAGATTTCAGCTTCATAAGAGTCTAAACTAGCTGGGCCTGGTGGCACTCACTAATCTCAGCACTCAGGAGGCAGAGGCATGTGAATCTCAGGTCCAGGCCAGCCTGGTCTACAGAGTGAGGTCTAGGATGACCAGAGAAACCAGGTCTCAGAGAAGAGAGAGAGAGAGAGAGAGAGAGAGAGAGAGAGAGAGAGAGAACAACTGTGCCTGCTTTCACATCTCTTGTATATAGTGATTTTTTTTTTTTTAGAAACAGCTAAAGGCCCTCCCTCCTCTGCAGAGGAAGCCAGCCCTCCCTCCCCCACAGGAAGCCCAAGGCTGCTGTAAATAGACACTCAGTCCCTGGCACCAAAAGTTTCCACGTCCTGTTCTAAATGTAGTCTGTACATATGCCAAGTAGTGTGGGTCCCCAAGTTCAGGGAGAATGTTTTGGATTCTTACATTTTAGGGACCCCAGCATTCCAGCTCAGGGGCTGTAGTCACTCAAGCATTTCTCCCAAGAATGAGCATAGCCAGTGCTCTCTGGGAAGGACCCTGGCTGGTGTGACAGGCTGTATTTATAGACTGGGCACCAGATAAAAGATCAAGGCAAAGGGACTCAGCAGAGAGACACAGTATGCGGTCACAGGATCTGCAGGGCACACACAGCCTGTCCCTGAGGAAGCCATTTGTCCAGAAGGTCTCATTCCACCTGGGACAATCTGGAGTTAGAGTTTCATCCTGGGACCGGGGCACATTGTTAACCACAGAGAAGCTGTGTTTGGGGACCCTCTCCCCAAGGAAGGAGGATGGGAGCTAGCCACTTCAAAATCCTTCACATCTCCCTTGCTGCCTCCACTCAGCAACGTGTGAAAAGGCTCGGGTGTAAATACCCGTGTTACACACACTGAAAAGTCTGGCTTGTCAGTCCTGCCGTGTGCTGTGCTGTCCTTCACAGAGCACCGCTGACACTTCTCAGGGATGTGGGTGCTGTAACCCGCTCCCCGGCGTCTGCATGAAGCTACATGCTCCAGGTGATCCTTCACACACGAAAACACACAACATGTGTATACACTCACACGTGAGCCTATGTGCAGGCACACACAGAGCCTTTCCTTCCTGGCGGTCCATAAGACGAAGTCACCTGTCATTTGCCTTGAAACCAAAGAAAGGATCCTGGTGTCTTTCTCAGAGATTTGGGCGAGGGGGGAAGGAATGTTAGCTCCAGACGTAGATTTGGTGTCTCATTGTCACGGTTCCCACGTGACCCCAACTCATACCTCCCTTGTCTCACTGTGACATAGAAACTTTCTGTGGCTCTGAGGGGATTGACTTCCTGGTCTCCTGCTGTCCTGGGGCAAAGGTGGCTCTTGTCCTCTCGGCGCTTCTCACCTCACAAAGCACAGAGTTAGGGCCCCAGTTCTACAGCCAGCTGCTCCCCAGTTCAAGATAAGGGTAAAGTTCATGGTGGGGTCCAAAGATAAGCTCACCTCCTCCTGTCCCACCCTCAGATTAGATAATGACCCCAGACATCGTGCTGCAAAACTGGTGAGCCTGTTTCTACCCCCTGACAGCACCTTGGAGGAGTCAGTCCTGTTCCCAATAATTTGGGGTGTGATTTAAGCAAAAAGAAACTTTCTGTTACTGTTTTTGAAAATGATAGCTCTCTTCGGGCCTGGTGGTGCATGCCTTTAATCCCAGCATTTGGGAGGCAGAGTCAAGAGGATCTCTGAGTTCAAGGCCAGCCTGGTCTACAAAGTGAGTTCCAGGACAGCCAGGGCTACACACAGAGAAACCCAGTCTTGGAAGAAAAAAAATAATCTCCATTTATCTAAGTGGTGGTGATCAGTTGGCTCGAAGAAGCTAGAAGTGACATGGGCTAGGTTAGAGGACACAGATTCAGCTTCCTTCTGAGTTGTCCCTTCCCTTAAAGCCCAGGGATTCTCTGCTACCCTGCATGATCTTGAGTGCCAGTGTGGCTTGCTGAAAGGAAATTCACATTTTCAGAGGTTTGTCCAGATGATGAAATTGTAAGAGAAGTGAAAATGGGGCAGAGAAGCAGACAGACTGGATCTCACCAGGCCCAGACTGCCTTATTGCACATGCAGTGAGGAGCCCCAACCTTTCTGAGCACATTTAGAGGGACTGGGGGACAGGTGCTTACACAGAGGGAGCCACCAGGTAGTGGGTTAGTATTTGTGTGTGTGTGTGTGTGTGTGTGTGTGTGTGTGTGTGTGTGTGTGTGATTTGACTGCAAGCAGGGTACGTTGTTTTTGAGACTCACACATTGTTTCTGCAGTTGGAGTATGCTGTCATTTCTGTCAGCCTGCCTTCTGGTGCTCGGATAGAAGGGTGTGTGGGAAACCCCGAGGCTGAGAATCTGAGTCACCGGATCAAACATTGTTATTTTTGTGTGTTGGCTGGCCTGCCTTCCTGATCAGGTGGGAAGGTACCCAGAAAACCCACAACTCTAAAGGGCTGCAAATCCGAATCACAGCTCTGAGGTAGGACAGTGTCCCAAGGGTATCCTGAGACACAGGAGCCCAGAAACATCACAGCTCTGGAGGAGGCCTCCTCAACAGACATTGCAGCTCCCAGGGAGAGTTATCCCAACCCAGATGAGCTGAGGAGCCTGATCTCTACTCTTTCTTCTTCTGACCAGTGAGTCACAGCAGACAGAAAAAAAAAACCCTTAAAAAAGAGATCCAGAAGAAACTGCCTCTGCTTCCACTAGAAGACAACAGAGAACTGAGGCAGACAAGGCCTTTATATAAGGTTTCTTAGGGGGCGGAGCTTTCTAGAGCAGGTATTTCCAGAGTGTGAATTGGTGAGATTTCAAATCCTAAACTTGGGGTACCCGGGGATTGGTGGGCTTTCCTCTTCAGGGATTGGTCGGTTTTCCTGCTCAGGGATTGGTGGGATTTTCTCCAGTCTTTTCACCTCAAATTTGCATAATTGGG